TCGTATGATCATCATTACTACAAATATAAATATATTCATGGTTAAAACTAAAAAAATACGAATGCTCGTAATTAAACAAAGTAATGCTAATTATCACTTAGTTATAAGGCGTGACAAAATAGTCTAATGATCATGTAAAAATGTATTAACAGAAGAAGAACAGTTTCATTTAGAAAAAAAGAGAATAATTTTATTCTTTTGTCGTTCAAATAGAATGGATCAATGAATTTAAGTTAAGATCATTTTTACGGTTTATTATCATACGTCTTCATTCTAGATAACATAAAATAGTTAAACAAAAAAAATAAAGAAGAAGAAAGATAGTCAAATTCATTGCATATCGATCAGATTTTATAACTAAAAGTTTAAATTAGAAAACAGTTGATAGTGTTTTATCTTATCAATGTCAATTTTGTTCTATAAATAATGACAACTTAGATAATAACATTAATTCAATCGAATGTTGATCGATGAAATGAGTACAAAAGAAACTATCATTTCTCTATACTTCACTTCTCTTCTTCAGTTTCTTCTTTTTTTTTTGTTGTTTTTTTTTTACTCATATATAAAAAAAAAAGTACAAAAAAAATATATAATCGAATGATATTTTCTGCTTATTTCAAAAAATATGAACAGTTATTTATTAATTTATTATAAAAGGTAGGAGTGTGAATGAAATAATCAAGGTTATTTATTGTAAAAACTCTGTAAGTTGAGAAATGTTTTTGTCTAATAATGAAGCGTGATAGACACTTTATTGGTACTTTGTGTCGAAATTTGTTGTTAATTGAATATGTTGACATAGCGTGACTTAAATAGAGGAAATGTTCCAAGTGTATAGTGATGTATCGACAAGTTCTTTTTTTTATTATGTTTGTGTGACAACCCATGTCCTCTCGTCTCAACGCGTTACTTTTTTTTTTTTTTTTTTTCTCTCTCATTTTGATAATAAGAAAAGAACGAACTAATTTAACAAAACAAGCAGATTTGAAGAAAAAAAACAAAAAAAAAAGAAGAAAGAATAGTCCCGGCTGGTTAAATTTTACTCAGACATGTGTGACAGTTTAATTTTGTGTTTAGTAAAGTAAGACAACAAATATATCAAATCATCTTATGTGAAAACCCCTCGACAAATATATTATGAAAAAAATCTCTTGAATAATAGTAATAATATCTTTCTCTTTTATGAAATTTTAAATTTTATAAAATTGAACAAAATGTAAGAATTAAAATAAAAATATATTTTCTCAAAGATATTCCATATTTAATTTTTAATTATAATATTCAGTTTTAACTCTATTTTAGATTTTATTATTCAAAATATTAGTTAAAAGTGGTACATTATTATTATTATTATTATTATTATTACTTATTTTAACTACTATGATCCATGTTCACGTTGTTGTTGTTACTGTTTATACTACCCATTCCAATTAAATTCTTACAAGTGAATAGATTATAGACTACAGGATGTCTATTTACTTGTATAAATATTAATATCCGTTTTTTAGTGTGCACAACACCATAGTTTATTATCATGAACTACATAAGAGAGAAAGAGAGAGAAAAATTTTTTTGACAATGATCGATTCCGACAGACATTAAACAATTTCCCAAAAATTTTCTGATTTTAATCCTTTATTCATTAACTATCATCAACAAAATGTAGATAGTTTTTCTTCTTTTTTTTCTTTTTCTTTTTCATATTCTTCTATGGTGCCTCACTGAACACACATTTATGCAACTATTTGATGTTGTAACTAAAAGAAGTGTGTATCATATCTTCAAAAATTGTAATTAAGAAAGCATTGTATTATGTTGAACTTATTTTTATATTTCTAAGTGTTGAAAAATGTTAATTTATATAAACTATTTCTTCAATAGTAACAGAAATTATGTAAAACATTATTGCACTCTATTTTCTCACCGGTGTTTACCAATTTTCTAAAAGAGTATCACATAGATCAAAAGAGTATCACATATTTATTTTAAAAATCACGCAATTATTAATACTATTATGTTAACAGGAGGTAACTTTAATATAATGACATAAAAATATTTAAAAAAAAATGAATTAGATTTATTAGACAAAATCCTACGCATATCCTATCTATTTCCTACTAGAATCTTATCTTAGTAGGAAATAGATAGAATATGCGTAGGATTCACTCATTCCATTTTCTTGTTAGAATCCGATTCACGATCCTAACAGAATTTGAGCAAATCTTATGATTTTCTAGTATCTCAGATTTGATTAGGATTCTATCAAGAAATGTATAAGTTTCTTACTAGGATTTATGGATAGTTGAAATCACAATCTTTCTAATGTATAGTCAACCTGAAACAATGATGTATAAAAAAAAAAAAGAAAGCAAAACACTGATCTTTATTCTGGCAAATAATGATATTTTTTCTATTAAAAACATCATAATATTTCTTAATTAGATGGTTCATTGCATACGGGTAACATGCGCATGAATGTCGCGCTATTTATATATACAAAAAATTCTTTCTTTACTTTTACTTTTTGCTATTTCTTAAATAAAGCCTCCGGTTACAAAGTGACATATGTATACTGAAATATAATTATCTCAATTTTTTATCCAAAAGGTATTGATGCCAAAGACATGTATGTTCGACTATAAATAATTATAGTATCTGAATTTTAGTATAAATATTAGTGAGTTAATAGCAATAATTTTGTAAAATAATAATTGATTACTTCCTATGATCGATTTCAAATGTGTATGTTATAACGAGAGTTATAGTTTCATTTAAACAATAGATATTCATCATTTTTGCTGTTTCTCAGACCATCATCTGTCGGAAACTAGATATTTCAAAGAACTTCCGAGATAGAAAAAAAAATTATACACAAAAGAACGAATGGTATTCTATAGTTTTACAAGAAAGATCAAAGAATTATCATTTTAAAACCTAGTTATGATTTAATGGAAACCATTTAGAGAGGAGAGGATCAACATCATGCTATGAACATAAATGAAGTGTCACTTTTCCATGCGTTACATAAATCGAATGGTACGTATTGGACAGCTATATTAATGAAAACTTGCAGAGAACATCAATGAAAATTATCTGCTAATGACAGAAATATAATTAAAAAATTTAATTGCTTTTCGCAGTATTGCAGATTTCTTCCTGCTATGCACGTAATGACTTTTCTTTTTCACCTTGTTTAAAGGCTAAAAAAAGGTAGGATCAAATATGGGTCATATTTGATTTCGCTAACATTTCCAATAGTAAAAACGACTTATTGTTAATATCCCTTATGTATAAAATTTGTCAAATGTTTTCAGTAAACACTACCAAAAAACTTTGTCAAAACTATTCAACTACAATTAATTTTGAAAATAATTGAGATCAGAAAAAAATGATTAATTCTTTCTTTCAAATAGAAGATAAAATATCCAGATTACCACAATTGCATTTAGTTTATGAAATCAGCTGCAATAATTGTGATAATTTATACGTGGATAAAACTGTTAAACAATTTTGCAGACAATTTATTGAGCATGGTACGCTCTAAGAAATTGCTCCAAAGATGCTGACGCGTCTTTTTATTTGAGTTATGAAAGTATAGTTTCGAACATACTAACTGGATCTGCCAGAAATATAAATAATAAAAAGACAATTAGATTTCAATTATATACAAATTAACTAACTTTAGGACGTTCCTTTCGTTTATCAGATAAATGGACTATGGTTTCTGTTTTCTAATAGTGCTACTAACACACTTAATTGTTTCGGATGACAAAGACTTTCATTCCTCCTTTTCATTACTATGCTTTATCTACACGTATTCTTGAGACTAATCATTCAGTTAACTAGGATGGGTTCAAGATCTTGGTGAAAGACAATAATTCATATAGATTATAAGTTAAAGAATTACTAATCAGTAGAACTTATCCATCTAAATTAAATAATATTATTCGTTCCATCCTTTAGTATGTTTTTCGAACTGGGCTTTCTAAAGAAGACTAGTTCGAGACCCATGGGATTAACTTTATTCATTAAAGTGATGTTAGTCATCTAGTTTTTTTTATTTTGTATATACAGATCATCTAGTTCGATTCCATCTATGTTTTAAAGATAAAAACAGAACTGTATTGTATGTCTTTCTTCTTTAACATGGAGGATACCATCCAACCGAAGCTTCTCAAAAGAGATACAAATTCGTCTTAATTAGCTTTGTAAGAACAAACAACATCAGTGGGGGGGGCATTAAAAACTGAGTGTGAGTTTGCAAAAACAAGTGTCTCTTTTGAGAAGTAATCCATCCAACAATTGATGAATGTTTATTTTAAATTATTAGCTGTCATCGTCGTTAAGTTAATGAGATGGATGTACTCTTGACTGATACTGCAGATAATTGAAGAGCTATTATTAGTGTGGAATAATATAGTTATTGTTATACCTTTGAAAAAAAATGTATAGAATTTGATATCATTGACACAAAATTACACTGATACAATTCTCCCATTTAAATTTAACATGTTTTTTTCAGTTTCTGAGGACTCTAGTGAATTATTCAACAGCTCGTAATTAAATCCGAGTTAATAGTATTACTTTTGGTGTACAAAATCCAGTGTCAGAACTGTGGTCCCAAAGAGTCTGGTTATTTTAGTTATTTTTTTTTTAAATAAATCAATGTTGTCGAATCAAAAATACATGCTCTCACATACACAAAACAAACAAAAAAATGAATAGAATATCGTTAACCTAAAAGTTTTAGCTAAAAAGAAGTCTACACTGTCCCCATTATACGACCACTTCTTCCAACTAACTGCTGAAAACCCTCCCTCATTCTATTAAAATATAAAAGAAAGAAAGAAAATGAGAAAAAAATCAACAATTTTTAACAACAACAGTAGTATAACAAACAAAACATAAGAGAAAAATAGAGATCGAATACACAAGCTAATAACTAAATATGCTGCGCACGATATATGGTCACCGTAAATGATTTTTTTTTTGTTCGATTACTGTCCTCGATTATCTAATTTTTTCACTTTATATATTCGTACGAGCCAATGTTCAGTGGTATAAGATTCTTCTAATTTTTCTAATTCAAAATTTTTATTACCAATTTCAGCAGAACGTGTACGATCGTATCCAGGTGGTTTGTCTAAATAAAAAGAAAAACAGTTTGCATTTGTGCTAACCACTCAACGATTAACTATTAGATTATATCGTCAGTCATTGTAACTCTTCCATCTGCCACAGCAAATTTTTCAACAGTATTTTCAAATTATTTCAGAAGAATGACAATAAACAGTTGTTCATCTCACCTTGTTCTGTGTATGTTTCACCAAATCGATAATAAGATAATTTATACATAAGACAATTCAAAAGTGTTGGTGAACCTTCCTTATCAATTCTAAATTCTCCTTGCGGTGTAAAGTAATCTGTTTCTTTAATATGTGCTCCTTTCTCAGTTGATCCACCAATTCGAACCATCCATAAAAATTTATTAATATCATCCGATGAATAACCAATAAGACCACCAAATATCACCAACACATAATCAACATCTAATTCTTGCATTATTTCATAAGCTTTATCCTCGGTAGATGACATTGCCTAAAACATGCCGAAAAGAACACTAATAAATACATACGCAATAAATGCAACAAACGCTTAAAACTAATGATAGAAATATCACGTTCTTAGACGAAATAGAAAGAATATTTGCTAATGACTTGTATACCTGTCCGACTCTCGATATATGTGTATTGTTCCAAGTGTTATTATCCACTAATATTGTTCTATTTGCCATTGCTGTTATTTGATATCCATAATCCCACCATGACATCACTTTAGCATCCTAGAGACAATAAAAACTGTTTATTCTATGTTTTCAGTTTAACATTTTCCTTACTTCAGCTGTATTATATCGAAGCCACCAATATGCCTCCCTGAAATCGTCAAAGATATATTTCGATCCATCGGCACCTCTAGCTGACAACACAATCGATGGACTCGAATATGCTTCTGATGTAACCCATGTACAATGAAATGTGTATGTCATAAGAAAAAATGTCATTAAACATATAACACCAAATGCAATTTCATTTTTCTTTGGATACGTTGAGGAATCATCTGAACGTTTAGCTCTCGAACTAACAGTTTTATCACCAGTTGCAGCGCCACTTCGTTTAGATGGTGTCACATCTAAATTTCGCATGTAAGTTGCTAATACACTTGAAATACCGATACCAGATAATATACACATAACAGGTGCCAATACTAACATCAAACGGACCATAACACCCTAAAAATCATAAAATATATAACTCAGTTTAGTTCACTTCATTTTCAGTTTCAAAACAGGTTACTCACAGCAAAGTAGATGCTCGTCATTCCATACATAATTATAAAAATATTTGCATCCGTTATTTCTTTAAAACAATAATAAATTCCGACTAGAAATGCAGAAAAAGTATAAGATTACAAGAAAGAGAGAATTAACATAGATGAATACCTGGGAACATAAATACCAATAATTGAAAATCAAAGTAAAATGAGCTCCATGCTGTCGGCTGATGTTCACTAACACTAGCAATTATAGGAATATGATTTTTAGCATAGGATGGATCTAACAAAGCATAAAAACGACCAGTCCATGGAGCAATTTCTAAAATAGACAAAAAATATAGCGTTATTTCAGATAAGTATAATAATGACACTAATGCAACATCACTTACTTCCACTAGCTGATAGTATCAATCCCACAACTCCTACTGCAGCACCAACGGTCATTAAGGCAAATGTAAATAATGTTTCGAATTGTTTTGCTGACAATTTTGATCTTACATATTCAACAAATGAGTACAATTGACATAAACCAAATGTACCAAATGCCTAGAATAAATAATATAATTATTTTTGTACTCGATTCTGTTCTATACGTACAAGCATATGTTCCGATGATTGTACAGGTTGAAATCCAACAAATGGTATTTGCATTGATAAGATTGTTCCGAGAATATAAACCGTTGAATAAGAAACGTAAACACGATGAGAAAAATGACCGGTAATCATTAAGACAAGAACGTGTAATGGAATCAAATTAATTAAAAATACATAGCCACCCCAAGAGGAAACCTAAAAATATAGCAAAGTTTTCGAATTTAAAGTAACTCAGAGTGAAAGATACGTACCATATAAAAGTATGCTACTGCAGCTGAAGCTGACCACATAATACTTCCGGTTTTAACTGATTTAATCCATAAATAATAGGTTAATAGCATACAAAATATGGCAATACCTTCGTTATCATAAGAACCAGCAACCGAACGAGATATATAACCAGGTACAATTGATATCAAACAAGCAGCTACCAAACCAGAACCGGTATTCTAAATAGATTATATCGTACAGTATACATCATTAACGCAAAACTATACTTGAAACCGAGATAGTCACTAGTGATACTAATGATTTTTAAAATGAAAAATCTTTTCAGGTGGTTCTAGCGAACGTAAACAATTACGAGTATACTCATAATTATAGCTCGAGTACTGCCGATTAAGTGGGTCTTTTAAAATGATAAGACTATGTTAACATATATGTGTAAAATACATACTTTTAATTCTTTGGTAAGAAGATAGGTAACAATAACTGTGAAACTCGAAAATAATGGTGCCAAAAACACACAAACATTTCGAATATCAATTGTTATATGAAACCATCGCAAAAAATGATACAAGGCAGCCGATGTAACCATAAGGCCTGAAAAAATCACAACTTATACAAAATTAGAAATCACGCAGCAACATTAAATATGACCTGGATAAATTGTTCCACCAATAATTCTTCCTAGAGGATACCATGCTCTATCATCGAACCAATTATGAAATGAATAAAATCCTTCATCGGCTAAAAATTTCGTTGTACGATAATTAAAATACGGATCAAATTCATGAATAACGGATTCATAGCGCAACACAGAAAACAAACGCGTGGCAAATGCTGCAAAAATAAACAAAAATGTTAATATAAAAGAGAAAAACAATATACAAATGAAACATACCAAGTACTCCAGCAAAAGCTAAGATAAACAATTTTAAAAAAGTGTCTTTTTTTTCGTAAGATAACTTTGGCAACCATTTCGGTATATAAGGTGTTACAAAATCCATCTAAAATGAAATTCAAACATCAAGAGAATAAAAAAACATACCCATTCTATTTCTGTAATAGGGGCCTGTTTCTTAAAAAAACTTAAGTAGAAAATCTTACTTAAGTCAAAAAAGACAAAGACTTTTTTGGACTTAAGTCAGATTTTCTACTTATGTTTTTTTAAGAAACAGGCCCCAGTAGTTTGAAAATAGGTATTTTTTGAAAATCAGACTAAACGTAGCATGACGCTCTTTCACCGACAATTAACATTCAAATTACTGGGGATTATTATTCATTCATAATGCAATCATTACAAAAAGATTGAAAACAGAGAAATGATCAAGAGTGTTTACGCATTGTTTTTACGTTCACAATCATCAATACAGATAGACCTGTTCAAAAAAATGGCTCCGGTTTTAAAACAATACAAAACTTATATAAAATCGGACAAATTTTGAAAAACTAACCCCAATTCAGTAAGAGGAATATAACTGGAACATATCGATCTAGTTTATGGTGTCGTTGATTCCTCTCGTTCACTCGCTACACTGGGAGAGGGGGAAGAACAGTCATTATTATTGCTGCGAACTCTATATTTTTTAAGCAATGTGATACGCATAGCGATCTAGTCATGTGGAATAATTCACAACGCGGTGATGACGCACTGTTCAGAAACACGGAAGTTGATAAAATCTTACCTTTCACAAGAAACATATATCCAAATACGTACGTGGAAGACGGAAAAACAAGATTTTTATTCTTGATTAGTCTGCAGATGATCTGCTTTTTATTGGAGGAACAAGAATTCTAAGTTCTCAGGCTTCACTAGTACGCGTTATTTTCGAAACAACCCCGCTCTGCATGTTTTACAAAAACACGTGCGTATTTTGGCTGGAAAAGTAAAGCGTACGCGAAAACCAAAAGGTAAAATTTCATTAAAAACACTACTTCCAGTTAGATTTCTGTTTTTACTGTAATAATCACGTTTCAGATACGGTAAAACGCTCATTCTGCCTCCATTATGAACACGCAAGACAGTTGCAAGAAGTGTAAAAAGATGTTACTAGTACTCTGAACAGCTTGGAAAAAACAAATAAGCGAATCTTTTTATCGAGTGTCGTGGCTCATTGTAATGAGCCAATAACTGCTTGACTTCGCGGAGTAAGACTATTAAACGGCTTATGCAGTAAACAAATGTGGTGCATCTATATTAGGAATAGTATAGAAAATTCGTCTTTCATTCTGAGAAAAATCAGAAACAAAGAAAAGTGGAAGAAATATTATAAAGATGTAACATCAAGAAACTGCTTCAGATGCCATAGTGATCAATAAATGATTTAAGTGTAATGGCTATATAAACTGAAATGTATAATAAAGGACGAGATGAGTATGACGCTAAAGCTAAGGAAAAACTGTATGATCAAGGTAAAAAGAAAGCCGTGATTGTAGAGTTTTGTGCCTCATTTTTAAGTCTTACATATTCAGTCTGTAACAGAGGGGCAGAGAAAATAAGTTATTTAGGATTTAATACAAACACTTTGATAAGATACTGCTGAGCTGTACTGTCTAGTTCATAATTTATGGGTGTATTCTGAATAAATGATAAAACAAATAGAGAGTCTTCAGATAATAATTAGAAACAAACATGAAATTACCATAAAATTCTGAATATAATGCAGTGTCCATCGTTTTTTCAACTAACATTCGCCTGATACAAGAAAAATGGAGGCTTTCGTCGTGGACAATCAATCGCTAGAGAAGACTGAGAGATGAGTACTTATATAGGTTAATCACACCGTTGCTCTTGTATACCACCCTGCAGTATACGGTGTGATTAGTTCAAGTGCAAGTAGACGCTGATTTAGAACAAATAAACTTGAAGATCTTCAAAGATAAGTTTTGAAAGATTTTTGGAAAACCAGTTTATGGGTTAGCAGACGCCAGGGCGTACCATGTATTACGTGACATTAGGGCGCAGTGATGTTTGGGAGCAATGCCAATAGTCGGTTGGAACACAGCACTAATGCGTTCGTTACAAATCAAATGTTTTTGCTAAAACATACTTTCTGCGGCAAGTCTTAAATCGATTGAAATAGTGTAGACATTCGCTCACAAACATCCATGTACTCATCCGCGCTCCCCGCCCTACTTATTATCCGATTCAGTGTTGAAAGTCCGTTACAAAGTTGTTGCACCCTAACGTCGATACACCAATCACAACCATATAAAAAAGCAATAAAAAGCTAAACATTATATCATTATTACTCGACATGTTCTACAGTTGAATCTTGTCAAATGGCATACTGTTTTTGTACGAGAGTCCCGTTACCATACACTTCTGCGCACGTTTTTTTCTATCTATTAATTGTTTTTTAACCCTTCGATATCAGCATATCGTTAGTAATTTCATGTGTACGTACGTTCTGGTTTGAGCCCAAATATCTCATTTCATTGTTGTGTTTTTTATATATTTTTTTTACTTTTATTGTCTACATTTCGGCAGTATTATAAACAAATAGAAAGAAATTTTCTCAAAACTATGTTTTCATGACACGAACAAAACGACAGAAATTTTTTTTCAAAAACAAAAGCAATAACAAAAACGCAACAAACAATAATAATAAAATGTTCATTCATTCGCGTCTTGCTGATTGTTTCTTAACAAATGTAAATACGTTTGCTTGGTATACATTTCAGTTAAAAATGGAACATAAAATGCTCGAAATATGGCATGTGATCTAAACAAAAAACACAAATATTCACTTTGACAAATCAAAAAATTATTATTTATCTTCTTACTTTGATGATAAAATCATTTTAGTTGCACTAATTTGTTTCATGTTAGGATAGTAGGCATAATTTGGTTCCAGTTTCGTTTCTTCTGGACTATCGTGATCAATAATATATTGACAATTGGTAATATCAACCTAAAAGTAGAATCATTACAATGTGGCTAAGATAGATAATTCGTTCCCATCTAATAGTCTACCGTATATATCCGAAATAGTTAATTAACAAGAGGAATAAAGATAAAACATACTAGTTTAATATTCTAATTCTTCCAGACTATATTGACATTCTAAGACTATATATACATTCAATGGTTAATGCAAGTAAATATAATTTTATGTCTTATTTGTGTTTTTATTTGTGTTATATTCGAAGATAACCGGTTTTGTGGAATACTGTATATTTTCGGAATGAAATCAATTCATTTTACCATCAATCTAATGTACGTTGTTTTTCTAATAAAACTTTTTAATGTCTCTCACTTTCAAAATATTCAAAATGATTCAGTATAATATCATTATGCATAACTCAATATTTTCTTTCTTTGTTTTTTTCTGTACACATGGAGTCAAACAGTAGTTTGTATTGGTACATCTGTCAGTATTTAAAAATGATCGTTCATTGAATATATCACAAATAAAAATACAAATAAAATATGAAATTATATTTACCCACATTAACCATTAAATTATCCTAAAAATGTTTTTTTTTTAAACAGAAACTAATGTTAAATAATCCCCAGTAGATCTACAAACGTACATAATGTGATATTTCTTCTTTATTTTCATCATTTAAATCATTATGAATAATTTTTGTCGCATTTGATAAACGACTGTAATGTTTAGGCAATTGTCCACGAAACTCTGATCGGATAAATTGCAATTGATATCTAAAAATAACGATGAAAACTATGATTAGACTTTCTGTATGTAATCTCTGTATGTTTTAGTTAACCTTTCAGGTAAGAAAAAATGACTAGGAAATCGATACCAATCTTTTCCAATACAAACATTTAAAGGTGATTCTAGATTCTGATGAAATTCAACAGTTGTATTGACATCTCTTAATAATCTCATTGATCCTGAATATCCTGAAAAATAAAAGAACATTTTTAATTCGTTCTCAAGTAACTGTTCTTCAAAATACATTACCTCTAATAATTGCAATTGTACGTGATAATGATAACAATGCGTGTACAATGAATATAACTAATAATAAACATGTTTTTTGGATTTGAACATCATTTAATAAAATGAACTTTTGTTTCTTTAAAACTGATCGAAATTTTTTTGTTAATCTTGGCATAACATTCTAAAAGAATGAATGATGATGATACATTTTAATTATTCATGAATATATGCCTACTAATATGTTTTGAATTATAATTGCACAGTCAAGTAAAATAAATGGATATACTGGAGAAACAAAACGATCTTCCTTAAAAAATAAAAATGTATTAAATTTTTTTTACAGATAATTTGAGCATCCACCTTATGTGGTTGTAACCATAACAGTCCCATCCAAATGGTTACCGAGGACATAATCAATGTGTAAGGTATAGCTGCTTTTCCTTAATAAATGAACACTGTCATTTTGTTATTTAAGCAATTTATCTCAAATTTACCCGATTGTACATATCGTCTGTCAATCCATATATCAATAATTGGCTAAACAAAAGAATAACAATTGAGAATAGAAACAATCTGACGTAATAAAAATAGAAGTAAGCCTCTCTCACTAGTACATAGAGGCGAAATCAACAACAGAGTAAATTAACTTCAGATTTATCAAACTAAAATTTAGAGAGTGCAATGTAGGTAATATGGTGACTCATTCAAATTTTTAATTATGTACATCACTCTACAAAATAGAAACGCTGCTTAAGTCTATAATGTCAATAGTTTCATTCATAAGATTTGCTCTTCTATGAACAAGACTTTTCACCAGTTGAACGTACTGTAATCAAAAGTCCAATAAAAGCAAGCGGATAAACAATATTGAAGTTTAATATACCATTTGTTAAATAGTATGTCCACGGTTCTGTTCCTGAATAAATAAAGTGAAGTTAATTAAGACTATGCCATTTCGTCTAATGTTTTTAACATACCATATAGTGTTGGTCCGTGTTTGGAAAATATATTGTATTTAATATGATTAAATGGCGTAATCACTAATTTACCATAATAATAGGAATCAATTATCGTGAATGGAATCTACATAGAATAAAATAATTATATATCTTATAAGAGATTCTCCAGATCTTCTCCTTACAATGGTAATTAATGCTGATACTATACTCCATTTAACAAAATCATAAAATTTCTTTCGTCGAAATAAAATATCGAATGCTATTGGTAAACTATAAAGAATGAATAAAAAGAAAAATCAAACACGCCTATTTATAAATGATATTGACCATTGGTACTATAACTGAGCAAGAAAAACGGCACTTGTCTCGGATTACAGGAAAAAAATCGAACGTTAACTATATTTCATGCTACTAACATATGCTATAGTTTGATACTCAATTTATGCTGATATATAAGTCTAAAAATGCTGTTTAATTGCAGAGATACTACTCCTGTTGTATTATTGAACTACAATGATTCATTGATGAATGTCAGAAAAATGATTTTTTACCCTAATAGGGCAACATAAACCCATCCACACAAGGCACCAAAAGCAATAAAAAATACTGCAATCTAAAATAAAAAGTATTTCTATAAAGGATTTGATTATAAGCAGAGATAAGTTTATGTATATTTACAGATAGATAATTCATAAACCAACATGTGTAGGCCAATATGATCATATACATTGCAAATGTATTATTTAAAAACATTGTACTACTACGAAAAAGTGCACAACTAAATAAAGTTAGTAAAAAATAGTATTGACCCAATTGATGATTTAATTGGGTTTGAATTGCTCTAGAAAATGAAAACTCGATATATTATTGAGAGTAGAAAGTTAATGGGTAAAAAGGTTACCGATAAAACAATGATTCACACGTTGCACAAATAATTCCGAACAATATACGTAATAGATAAAATGCTAAAATCTAATAGAAATTAGAATCATCATATGTTTCTGTGTTCTTGTACAGATTATTTGACTCTTTCATCATCTGACTTTTGTACATACTTTATATGTAATTGGAATGAGATATAATGGTAATGCATGCAATAATAAATAGGCATATGAACGCATTGCATAATGAGGAGAATATTCCCACGTTTGAAACGATGGTTGATCATCATATAATACTTTATGAAGCTAAATGTGTGGAAAAAAAGAAAAAGATAATAAACAGGGATATGTGTGCCGTTCAAATACATACTGGTTCATAAAAATTATAAACTTCGTCACAATCATCAATTGGATTGTATAGTGCACTTAGAATTCGTGCGGTAGTCAAACACATAAACACAAACGGATAGTTTATGGAATCAATACGATGTTGAATTGAGCGAATAAATTTCATCATGACTAGAAAGGGAGAAGTAGATCTAAAATAAAAATAAACAAAATTGTTTACTAGAAAGAGATTGGCACTTTAATTATTTTCATGGATCTATTTTTCTTTTAGTTATTTCTGTTGTGATCAAAGAAAATGAGCTGTTTAAATGTATCCGCTTCTGTTTTCAACTGAACCAGATACGAGACTCGTTTATTACGGAAAATGTATCGATTACATTAGGAAATATATAAAAAAATCGATAGAAATGTAGCAACGGAAATATGTGAAGATGCGACATACACTCAGGCTCAGAATTACGCAGATAATTCTTACAATCTTAGCGTTAGTTTTATAACTTCTTAAAGAAGTGAGCTTTCGACTTACTTTTTTCATCGTTATATGACTTTGCCTCTATAATATTATGTGGAACAAATTAAGTTAAAATTCCAAGAAGCCGTGTTCTTATGGGTCATATAGCAAAAAACAAGTTTTTTGAGGAGATTCAATTGTCCATAAGACCAAATATATGGCATTTTTCCTTTTTTTTCGTCAGACAGGAGTGTGTCATACTTTTACCATTAAATAAGTGAGAAAATCAGCTTCATTTTGGTTAAAAAAAAGCGCTTCATCAATCGGTGTTTTCCTCCCCTGATTGATTTTTTCTTGTCGGTATCGATATTTTGAAGTTCCCTAACATCTGAGCAATGAGAGGTGAAATTTTGCCAGTTGTATCATTCGAAAGAACGTGAAATACTAAACAAGACAAGCTTGCTTGCGAACTACTGTCAGACTCATTCATTCCTTTGAGATGACATAATTCTTTTATCTCTAGTGATTGAAAGTTACCAAATGGCTTGTTTATTAGCAAATAGAAGATTATGTACATCGGTAAGTCTCTTTTGTATTCGTTTGTGATTTATACGAAGCATTCTTGATAACAAATAATGCACAAATAGTAGAGGAAAATGTTTTCTAGGAATGCAGAAAAAAGCAATATATATTATTACACCGAAAATAATCCATCCGGTTAATTCAAATAAGTAATTTAGTTTTAATACTAATAAAACAGTAATAACTCTTTTGATTCTCGTGCAAATTGCTGCATTCTTTATTTATTTATTTATTTATTGTTTCCAATATTTCTTAATGCTTTTTCACATAAAAGTAGAGCATAGGATAGGCGGAAAAATGAATAGAAAAAAAAGCAACGAACAAAACAATTATCTCATCGCATAGCGCAAAAAAAAAGAAATGACCACCACCAGCAACAACAATAAACAAACAAGAATTACAACAATCTTATCTTAATCTGACAACCGTGCGCGCGCACTAAATAAACACAGACTGAAGGAAGGATGAATAGACAGCAAAGTTCTACTGTTTTGTATTTCAAATATAGGTAAAGAATGAGAAAGAGTATTTTTTCATTAAAAAAAACAAAACAAGATGGCTACCAATACACATGCATAACACTTACAAGAGAATAAGAAGCCATTGTTGCACAAAAAAAACTGAATAATAATAGTTATAGTAGATGTTTATTGTCAGAAAGCAAAGGTGAGACTTTTGATAGTAAAAATGGAAACAAAAAAAATTTTAGAGACGAAAATTTCACCGTCTTTGAGAAAAAAACCAAAAATGAACATAAAAAATTACACCATGTTTTTTTTGAAAGAGACAGAGACAGAGACAGAGAGATAGATACAAAGACAACACCCACAAAATCGAAACAAAGACACAAGCAGCTCGTTTACACTAACAGTCATGAGACGCTTATGAGAAACACACAAACTAGTGTAAAATAGTAGCGAAAAAACAACAACAGATCGAGCTATTCTTTTGTTACCTAACACTGATGCCTAATGAACATAAAAGGAGATACCGCAAAAAAGAGTTTTCCTCCACGGGTGTCTTAGGCAATGCAACATCTATCTAGAATACTGTGAAAAGCAAATAAAAATTGCTGCTGCCTCATCCTTTATCTTCCTAATCTTTTAGTCTTTCTATCTCATCGAGATAATCAGTCTTAAACGGTAATATACTGGTAAATACCGTTTTTGAACTGTCAAAAAAATATCAGAAATCATAAGTTAAAGCTCACGAACCTTACTTAAGCTTTAACAAAAACTCTTTTTACTCCTAATCACATTATGAAAAATCAGAGGAAAAACTAACAGCTATGAAGCATATCTCTGCCTTTACTTCTCGTTTCATTGTTTTAATTAACAACTTAATTTCTTTAATAGCTCTTTCCATACTTCATTTATCTTTTTTCTATTTTCTTATCATGTCAATATATAAAAGCGAAAAAACAACGAGCATTCTTTAAAAAAAACAAGCAACCGACATATGTTTTTAACTAGTAGTTGTGTCGTACAAGAATAACAACCAACAAACTTATATTTTATCTTCCAGAAAAAAACAAAAACAAAAAAAATACAAATTTGTCTAAAACAACACATACGCACACACGGACTAGAAACACAACGAGAGAGAGAGAGAGAGAGAGAGAGAGAAATTGAAGTATGAATTATGATGCGGACAAAAAAGATAAGAGAAAGATCATTATGAAAGATATTTGTGTGTTCTAGATATCGGCGGTCATTCGACGGTGGGTGAGTCTCCCTCGTGCTCAAGATAATGGTTTGTTCGTATGGGAAGAGATACAGAAAAGATTTCTAGACTACATGATTACAACAACGATAATGATAATAAATGACTCAGAACAAACAAAAACAAATATGGCACAACACCAAAAGAGAGAGAGAGATCAACAATAGTCTAACGAATTTGTTTATTATTTCGCATTTCGTTTGATAATGATGAATGAGCATTTATCTTGTTAACGTGTATCATGTATATTGATTGATAACTCGTCTATATGTTTCAAAAAGCAGATCAAAGAGGACGAAAAGGGAAGAGGTGTAGCAAAAATGTAAATATAAATTGAATAGATAAGAAACTAATAATAAATTAATTTTTTGTATATAGGTGTGTGTAATTATTGTCCTTCTTTATCTTTAGTTGCATTTGCGGCTGTCATTACTTTTTGCCGAATTTCTCGAATACGTAAATTTAAATCACGTTTTTTGGGAAATAATTCGCTGTTTTGAAGTTGAAATGCCGTGATTTCTGCATCTAAGAATAGAAGAACAGACAAACAAGTATTATAAATAGGTTAGATGAAACGGTGCAGTTCTTAAACTAAAAACGTTTTCAATCTTCGTTTTTCATATTTTTGTCAAGTTCATAAACATCCTCACTAGAGATCTTCACGGCTAGTGGTATTGAAGGTTTGTGCTCGTCGGTCTAGAGCTTCGTTGTCATATACTAGCTATATCAATGTGCGGTATAGTATTAACAATTTTTAGCAGTGGCAAGTGCTAGGAATCCACTCAACAAATAGAAGGAAAGGTAAAGTCATTATCTACTTCAGAAAAATCATAGAACATTTAAAAGGTACTCAGATGCGTCCAGATTCTTACCTGTTGGATATATATGACTTTTTAAGAGCTCAATAACCTTAAGACGAGCTAATAATTGATTTCTAGAATTAACTGTAGACGATGATACGAATGATGATGCGACTGTAGATGGAACTGAACGTAAAGAACTCGCATTTATCAATTGATTTTTCATTTCTAGAACATACATATACGTATTAGTTTTCTTCATAAATTTTCGACTAATCACTTACCATCTAATTGTTTTGTATAATCAGATGTACTACGAGTAATTATTGTTTGAGAATAAGTAGGTGATGGTGGTTGTTGTTCTTGAACAATGCCCGTTCCAGTTGCCAAAGGAACAGGTGTATCCATTATCGATGCTTTACGTTTACGTTGTCTTAAATTAATTGTGTCTGTTGTAAAATGAGCGTGATCCGATGATAGTGGTTCATTATGAGTTAACACATTTGATGTTTTTAGTTTCGTTAAATTATTGTTACCAACCATAACTTCGGTTGACATACGTTCGCTAAAATTATATGTACAATATTAGTTTTTCAGTTAAAACTAAAAATGTTTTCTAGTTTTAATGTAAGATACTTCAGATATGTCCTATTTTGTGCTTCAATGTAACAAGTATTTCAGTGAGGAGAACTCAACATTTCAGTATCAAATCATCCGAACACATAATCAAATGTCATAATGTGTATCCTATAATCTACTGTATAGCTTACCTAATACTTCTTGAACGTGTTGTTGGACGTTGAACGGATGTCGTTATCTAGAGAGAAATAAAAATAGAAAAATCGATGTTTCCTTTCTTTCTTTATATGTGCAGTTTACCTCAATTTTTCGACGTTTAATGCTATGACTGTTCGTTTTTGTATCTTCTATTGCTGTTTCTGGATGTGTTTTAATAATTTGTTGTTGATCCTTATTACTTTTCATTCGTCTCAACGATGATGAACGTGTTTCAATAGGTGTTGATTTTGAGTTCGTAAGCAACTGTTGAGATGATGGTTGAAGAAGATTTCCATGGATCTCATCAGTTGATTGGATAGTGGATGATAGAGACGGTGATAACATCCATGAACTATTACACTCATGACTATTTTTTTCAGACCTAAACAAAAAATAAAAACATGCAATTAGGATGTTGTTTTAAAAGACAAGTCGCATATAAAAAATTTTCTCATAAGAGTAGATTAGTGTGGTATAAGAATGAAAATTCTAATTGATTGATTAAAAATTAGTCTGATATTCTGAACTTTTGTCTACGTACATTTGATAGAATCGCTGTTCATACATTTGAGAGAGGTTATCATTTGATGTTGTCGGAATAGGCGATTGTGATGTTGAACATTGTTTTCTCATTAGAATTTGTTGACAGAAATCTTTAGCACCTGATTTAATCTGTTCCTCAAGTAACTTATGAACACTTGGATCTGTGATTGTAGATAACCAACTATTATATTGTTTTTTAAGCATTTCTGATATTGACATACCACCTTTACATCTATCATCGCCACTATTCGAGCAAAGATTATGAAGATAATTGCTAACTTCATCATCATTACCATCCTGTAATACTGTAGCGGCAAGAATTGGTTGTTGCAGCTGTTCTTCGTGAATTATTTGTAATTGTTTATGATGTGGATGTTTTATTGATTCAGGTGGAGGAGTTTTTCGTTCACGTTCACTTAAAGAACTATTTGACCGTGAACTGTAGCTGCTGGTTGCTTCCAATGAACAAGAGCTGCTACTTGAACTAGATCCAGATGAATAGCCAGTTGAACGACCAGATGATGTGGACGAATGATTACTTCCTGTTGTAGATGCTACTGATGGATATAGTGACTGACACGCTACAAAAAAAAGCAAGATCTATGTCAATAAAAGTCAAATCAGAAATAAAAATATCTACAATCCCACAATAAAACCAAAATTTACAAAATGCAAAAGTTATATTTATTGAGCGGTAATAAGTTTAATATATGTAAAATTTTGAATCTCAATAAATTCATATGTTTCTGAAATGTAGATTTCAAATAAACTTGGTAAGCCGCTGTTAAACTTAATCTTGTATTAGTAAGAAAGAATCAGAAAAAATTCTTTTATCAACTACTTACGACGGTTATGAAGTGCATTCGGGCAAAAGTTAAAAACTGGTTGTTGACATTGTTGTTCTTCTTTAAATTTTTTCGCTACGTGTATTGAACGATTATTATAGTTTTGAGTTTGTTGTATGTGTTGTTGTGAATCGTCAGTACGACGATAATCTGCTAATGATTGTTTTTTCAATGGCACTGTTGGTTTAAAAGGTGAAATAAATATTTTACTGTTCGATTGTTTCGCTCCGGAAGCTGTGACAGATAAAGAAACACATTCTAAACAGAAAACATCCAATTACATTGCGATTGAGATTGATTGTATCTTATATTACGACCACTTAATATTAGTGTCTCTGAATAAGGTAATATAAAAATATAGTACTGCTAGTTAAATTTTTACCTTTCGTTGTTGTCGAAGTAACACTGTTAGATTCGATCCCCGGTGATTGTGATGTAGTTGCAGTTGACGTTCCATTATTACCGGTCTGTAATTGCTTTAATTTTTCTTCTAATAATTTATTTTTTCTACATTGTTCCAACAGGAGATTAAGCACGTCTTCATCGTTTATTTTTTCATTGCCATTTCCATCATCAATACTACCGTTTGGTGACGTTTGTCTTGTTGTTGGTAACGAAGATGTTGTTGGATTTGATCGTTTTCCTATTGCCGGTGTGGATGAAGTCGGAGGTGAATGAGAATGTTCAAATGAATATGAATGACTATTCTGAAATTTAGGAGGTGGTATGGCTGGTGATGGAAAAGAAAAATGCTGATTTGACGATGATGATAACTGGGCACCATACGACGGTACACACTGATTAAATGACGGTGATGATGGATGACTATGAGTGACCTAGAAAAAAAGAAAAATTAATTATTTTTAGTTAAGTTATTGTATACTTACTCTGCTTTCGGATGATGTTTGATGTAAACGAAAGGCTGTACCTTTAAATTGTAATGGACTACGAAATCGATCATCGACAAGATGAAGATCTAATTAAAAAGAAAAGATGAATATGATGTAACAATTTCTTTTAAGAAAAATAATAATTAAAGAAAATGATCTCTAAAAACTACTTCTAATTCAAATATTCTTCTTACCATTAATTAAATTTTTTGTTCCTGTTGTTATGAGATTAGTTTTTGTTGTATTGTTTTGTTGACACGCTGTCTGCGGTATAGGTTGAAGAATTGGTGGTAATTGTATTTCACTAACATTGACTTTATTTATTGGACTAAATTGGCTCGATGAATCGCTTTCAATGTTTTTATTTACGGGACTAAGTGATGATCTTTGTTGTTCTTGCTCTTGTTGTTCTCGTTCACGTTCAGCTATTTCCGAACAAATCTAGAATATGAAAAAACATAAAATAATTGTTAGAATAAAGATTCTATGAATATACCGATGCTAGATTTTGTAATGATTCAAAGCCGGATATTTCTGAATTTGCTGTCGTTGTTAGTTTCTGTAGTTCCGTGTTATTTAAACATTGTAAACGAGCTGAACGTCGACAAATTAATGCTGCAGTTTTTGTTAATAATTCATTTTGATCAGATTTTGTTTCATCATTTACTGGAGATTCTATATTTTGTTGTGAAATATTTGAGAATGACGGTAATACTGAAGCTAGTTGATATTGCTGTCGTTGTGAAGAAGGAACGGTTGAACAGCAAATTGACGGCGACTAAAATAAACGAAGTTAAATTGACAACTTCGTCACTAACTTGTTGAGTTAATACTGATGACAGATATCTAAAGAATATGATGCCTAAATGACGTTCATTGAGTCAAAGACTAGCAAGAGAAGTTACGTAAAACAATCATTCGCCTTCGACTGAATATTATAAGGAACTATCTGAAAAATAAATGTTAACTTACAATGTGAGTTTGCTCCTCATCTTTATCTTGAATTCTAAATCTCATATGGGCATCCGTTATCGCCTCCTTTTCATCACCGTTTTCACATGCATTCATATCACCATTTTCTTCTTCTTCGTTCTCGTGTTCTATTTGTTGCTCCACTGAAGTTTTCTGTTCTTTTGGTTGTTGTTTTCTTGTCCCACTTGACCATTTATAATTTGGATTTTGTTTTGAATGTTCTTGTCTGAGCGATTTCGCTAATAGATCATATTTATCTCGGTCTTTTTTCGTTAGTGCATACCATTTTTCTCCAAGTATTTTACTAACCGTACGATTATCACGATTTGGCTGCTCTGAATGTATTAATGGTCGTTGTTCTTTACTAAATAACATGAACGAATTCATTGGACGACGAATATGTGATTTATCGTGAATATTGTTGGTATTTGATGATAAATTTCGAGGACGAAGTGAACGAGATATATCTTGCTGCAGCGGTGAAGGAGTTAGTCGCAGTTTTGTTTCTGTAGATAAACCTTGATTATTGTAATTATTTTGTGATTGTTCTCGTTCAGTCGATTGCTGTTGAGATGAAGATGATGACTGTTGTTGTTGCGGATTAGAATGAGATGAATTAGACCTCTCTGGAAAAACATCATCGTCATCTTCGCCATCTGGATCTAAAGATAAAGATGGTACTTAATCCAATAATATTTTCAAGAGGTGAACACTCGAAATGTCCCCAGAAATACATTGTTCGTTTCGCTCTGAATGTTTGTCCTCCTTACCTATTACTGGTATTTGTCGTTGAATTTTTGATTTTGTTGTATCCACTCGGATTGAGATTTTCGGCAAAATATCTGTCCAACTAACGATATTACCTATGCCATTATCTAAACAACAACAGTTAGACTAATTTGCTAATTTTCAAAAGTAAACTAGCATAGAATACTACCTGAAATATTGACTGCTCCACTTAGGTCTTTATCTCGACGTCCTTCGTCATTATCATCATAACTGGTTGGCACTTAAATGCAAATAAACGAAGTTAATACTCAATATATTGTAGATAGTAAAATGCTCAATCAGAATAGTAGTGTATTTCATTCTCGAGCAACGGTACTGCATACAAAGTATAATGGAACAAAAATTAAAAGTTTCTGTTTTTAAAACAGTAGGTTTTCGACAATTCCAGTGTAAAAACATGAATGCTTTAGATAGTTGCTTTTCTCATGAGAAAGAAAAGGGAAACTTATTTTATATCCTAACAATAAAGTGAGTTGTGTCGATGAATAACCGTTAAAAAAAGATTTTTCTTATTTACTAACATTGTTTATCTCGTATTAAACTTGTACTGTGTTGTTGTACAGGCGGCGATCTATCGTTCATGAATAATAACCGTGGTTGTTGTTGTTTTTGCTGCTCATTAGTTGATAAACATGATGTGGATGAATTTGAATTGACTCTAGTAAATAATGTCGATGATGAAAGAGGTGTCAATGTAACTGTAGTCGGTGGTGGCATGGGAGTTGTTGTGCGAGAATGAGGAGCAGAATAAGAACCACGATGTAAATTATATGCGGCTGCTGGTGAGACTAGACTAGGTGACATTGATGTGGTAAGCAGTTGTTGTACTTGAGTTTGCTGATTAGGATAGGAGTTTAAAAGATTAAATGATGCTTGATCGTGATGTTGTTGACGTGGTGTCATAGCAGAAAAATAATCATAAACACCACGCACTGATTGTGAAGTACTAACAGGAGATGATGAAACAGAATGATGATACTGATGTTGATAATGTGGAATTAATAATTGTGGTGGTGGCAGAGCTTGTTGAAGATGAATAGATGATGTTCCACCTAATCCTTTACCTACGATAAAGATAAGAATTGTTAAGTACATGAAACACAACTATTGTTCGACTGCCTGGTAAAAGAGAACGTCATATTATACGTCCTTTTTGCGCATCGATGTACGTATTGCGAGTAACACAAGCGGCTATCAAGAACAGCATGCTCTTTTACCTTTTTGTGACAAATGTCTTGAACATAACCCCCTTCGTTGTGATTCTCTCGGACAGTTATCTCTTGAGCATAGCCTTCGCCATTGTTTACCATTAAATTTTTTTCGAATACGATTTGATGATTCAATAATATCGCCTTTTTTAAAATTTTTATTATTCAAGAGTGCTGCAGCCGTGGATAAATCTGTCGCATCTTGTTGATTACTTCCTAACAAATTAATTGTTCCAGAATCTCCGTTTGATAGTTCATCTTGATCTTCCTCTGTCGTGTTTCTTGAAGCAGTTGCTGTTCGATTTGAATCATTAATAATACTAGCTGCTGAATTTTCAGACGATGATTTTGGTTGTTCACCACTTGGAGATGATAGATAAACCATAGTAGACGCAAGTGGTAGAAGAGCTACGAAAGAAACATTAGAGTATTATCTATAGCTTAAAACTCTTCAAAGGAAGGAGAAAGCTTTCTTTTGTCAATTTTAACATCTTGTTCTTTACTTATGTCAGTTTTGGTATGTTGCTAACATTATCCAAAAAAGTATTCTGTTTATTAGAATGATAGTGTCTATTTTTGCTTACCATTACTGTTCGTTTTTGTTAAATCTTCATTATTTGTTCTTGAATTGTCTTCAATTGTTGTTGACTTTGTTTCAATTGATGATGATACTGGTCGTGATAATTTTCTCGTTAATATTAATTCTAGTGCTAAATTCCAGTCTATTTCAATTTCTAAATAACATATAAATAAACAAATATAAAGTAATCATTCTTCATAGACTTTATCGTTCTAGGTGATGCTCTGCTTTAGGCGGAAAAGTGAAGTTTACATTTATAATTAGCATATTTCATTAGAATATGTATTGTGATTACGTTTATAGATAAAATTAAAATTGTCATTAAACATACCTTCATGCCACGGTGGTAATACCAATCTTAATGATTGTCTTGATAGTAATACTATCTGTTCATTATTGTAATCCACTAGTTTAATTCTAAATTGTTGTTGTTGTGTTTTATCTGTAATTATTCCCATATAATACTGCGTATGATCAGTTGATAATTTACATAAAACCCGTTTTCCAATATCTAAATCAGTATAAACCGGTAAATTGTCTAGTATAATATCGAATAATTCTTGGACATTGAGTAAATCAATCTGAATTAATTCTTGAGAGCATGGAGTCTTTGTTTTTATTGTAATAATTGACTCATTTGTGCCATAAATATTACCGGGAACATATGTAAAAATTTGATCAGAATTTGGTTTTTTAACTAAAACGCTTTGATTGATCCAATCATTAAAATTACATTTATCTATATTTGCTTTCAAATTAAATAAAATTGTTTCAAGTTCTGAATAAGATGGCTGTGACATTGCACATGATATGGATGGTACTAAAATGAAATAAATAGAATAAATAGGTTTTATCATAAAATTGTCATTTCTTTCACAAGCTAACAAGTATTTACCACTAAAATTATAATGTACGATATCACATAGAACTGCAATCTTATTTAAAGTTCAAGATGCATTTATCCATTAATCAAACTGGTAAGATGGCAAAAATTAAACAGAAAAAAAAACGAATTCATTTTGTCTAAATTTGACGAGTTATAATTAATTACACTATTTTTAGTGTCAAAGTTGTACACACGAATCGAAAAGTTTAACTACAATCTGTTCTCTCATTCACTTTGCTTACTTTAACGAAATAGGAGCATTTTTCTCATATGAATGATTTTGTCTATTGTACACACTGCCGCATGACAATAAGAAACTCACACGAACGTGAGAAAAGAAGAAAAAAACTTATTGATGTCGTTTAACGTTTTGTACTTACCTTGACATTTTATCATTTTATTTAGAATGACAAAAAAAAATGAGAAGAAAAAAAGAGGAATATCCGTTATCTCTACATTTTAAACTAAGTGAAACATGAAAGTAGGTAAAAAAAAAAATACAATAATATTGTAGCAGGTTTAAAAGTTTACTCAGAAAACTGTTACATCGCTAAAAATTTCACCTTCTTACAAACTGATCGAATCGAGATGAAAACGTGTTTTTTTTTTCTCGAAATACTATCGAACGAAAAACTTTTTTAACAAATCTGATTTTGACAACATCACCCAATACGATGAAAGTAATAAGGATACTATGAATGAAGTTTTCACTTTTTTTTAACTATTATGTTACAGAAAAAGGTTTACACATCCTTTACAAGTTTTAAAGCATTAGTAGTCGAACAATTTTTTGAAGATATCCTTGAAACTTTTGATAATTTCATTGCCAAAATAGACTTAATTGATGTCTTATATTGATAGATGAAACATTTATAAATATTTTCTCGTATTTTATTATACTTACATTGATTGTTTACTGTGATCATATGTCCATTTTGTGTTGGCTGTGATTGTTTGAATTCTCCTACTGAATTTTCATGATTAGCTAACCAACGTTTTTTGAGTGGTTGGCTTGATGTCATTGAAGTAGTTATGAATGATTGTGTTCGTTGTGAATGAGCTAATAATCCTATATGCTGTGAAGAACAATGTTGTGCAGATGAAATATTATCTAATTGTGAACATGAATTGTTATATTTCCTATTATTGTTGGTGCTTATTTCATGATGATGATTATTATTATCATCAATAGAAGAACGTTTAAGACTTCCGTTTCCACCGCCTTTTAAACGTTTATTTCGTTCTGTTGAAAAATAATCTTCTTCATCTCCGTCTACATTAAGGTTATTATTTTCAACAATTTCATTTGCTTGTTTTCTCGTTGTATTACGTGTAATCTGAATTGAATTTTTCAATGTAGACTGTGATTGTTGTTGTTGTTGTTTTGAATTTGAATGCGATGAACAAGATGATATACAGGCGTTTCGAGTTAACATTGTATATAATAATTAATTCATAATATTCTTAGAATTCAAATAGTTGTACTAAAAGAAAACAAAAAACAAAAACAAATGAATAATCAAAAATTCTCTAAAGAGAAAATTTATAATATTTGCTAACGAATTAAACTAGTTTTATATTATGAACTAAATGGTCCATTGCGTCACGATTAACCAATATTTTGATTTTTGGTCTCATTGAGAAAATAATGTTATCTTTATTTAGGAAATAAATACGAACTCAATTGCTCATCTTTTTTCTTCTCTTATCACATGTAAAACGAAAGAAAGAAAAAAAACATACGTGAACAATATTATTTATCATTTTGCTGCCTGTTAACATAAATATAATAATATTAATATTTCGTCGTAAGACATTAGCAAACCAAACAAATAAACAAAAAACAAAAACAAAAGTTGAGTAATAATAATGATAAATTCTAAATCTAATAGACTTGACAACAATAACGATTAATAAAAAAAAGAAGACAAGGTTGTGTATGTGTATCTAAGTAAGATTATAATATGTTGCGAACCACCGGATAATTAATAAACAACAATAATGGTGATAATAATAATAATAATAATGAAGATGAAGAAAAATGGAATGCAAAGATCGAAAAGGAAGAAAGAGAAGAAAAAAATGTAGAAAAACAAGAAAAAGAAACGTAAATCTTAACTAAAAAATAGCAAGTGATGGTGGGATATCCATATCGTATTCTTCACGCCTGTTTTCTCTAAAAAAATTAATCTATAATACCATCTAGAATAGAACAACTAAGTACAATTTATCGAGTATAGATAAAACAGTGAGTATTTGATCAAGGTTATACAATACGACTATCAAATGACCTTGATAAGCTGCACGTATATGCAAGAAAAATAATGATAACAACAGCAAATAAGTAAATATATAGCGAGTTAAAAAAAAAAAAATACATAACTTTTTAAGAGGTTAAATTTTATATTGACATATAAAATAGAAAACGTGTTACTAGCATGTGACACCGTACTTTCACGTTTGAAAAGGTCGTGTGTATATATAAATACTAGTTTGAATTTCACATTATAATGATATACGATTAATTTCAGCTAAAATTAAAATTTCAATTACAGTTATCTACGAGAAAAAAAGGAAAACATTTTGAAACAGGTCAACAATTTTTACAAAATTTATGAATTTTTTGTATGGCATCAGAAATCAGTTATTAGTAGTGTAACTGAAATTTTTTGCATAATAATAATTATGATTTGTACCTTTCTTTGACAAAATATATACAGAACATTGTTAAACTTCCGTCTCTAATATCGAGTAGTTTTCGTTCAATTTCATATTCATGAATGCACAAATAAGTAAGCAAGATTAGAAAGAACACATCAGTACAACAATGATGACAAAAAAACATCTGATAATGCGTTGATATCGCTCAACAGTATGATGAAATTTTGAATTTAATTTAATTGATTTACCATAGACATTCTTAATTTGTTCGATGTCAAATTATTTTCTATAAACAAGATATTCAAAGCGAATAAAAACAAAGTGAGCAGACACATGGCATCCGAAAAATTACTATTCAAATTGATATGATTTAAAGATGCCACTAATATAACTGATCAAAGTAAACTAAAAATAAGAAAAATATAACATTTTTTAAAAAATTTACAAGTGACTTTTCTTCAATTCTCCCAAGTATAATTTCAATGTAACTTTTTGGAGCAAAAAAACTGGTCATTTTCACGATTCTAACGTCATTGTATATTATCCTCTTTGATGAGTCACAAAATAAATGTCAGGTAACCACAACTACTCCTAAATAAGTACAATTTAAAGCGAAGAAAATGTCTACGAGCTCTATCAGAAAACGAGATTAGCCTAGACGTTTTATTTGCTTAGTTGAATGACCCTGACAATTTGACATCTGTTAAACATCGATCTAGTTCAGAAAATAACATCTCTATACTAACCATAACTCAGAGACATAATGACTCGACAAACACAACATCTAGACTGATTTCCAACGAGAAGTTGACCACTTGTCGGAATAGAATGTATGAGTTTGTTGAAAACATGTGATTAAACTTATGGATAAAGGAAGTAAAGGGAGACGTACTTGACTGAGTCGTATTCATTCTCGATCCAATGTGGTGATCTCACCTGAAGAAAAAAACAAATCAGGAAGACCTTACCCAGCAAGAAAAACAAAAAATAGGATGAAATAGTGATGATAACTCAAACACATAATTCAAGCCGTCCATTTTCTATTTTTCATATGATATTTCATAATTCTTTACATTTGTTTGCCAACAATTCATTTTTTTCAATCTAAAATGAAACATAAATAAAATCATTACACATACACACATAAATCGGTAAAATAAATAAACGAAAGATCTAAAAGTGCAGTGTATCCACTTAAAAATAAAAATAAAAAAACGTTATGAAAATATATATTCTCGTCCGCCATTACTTTTGTTGACCTCCTGTCAAATTTTATTAGGAAGAGAGAGAAAAAGAGAAACTCTTCCATTTCTTCTTCTTCTTCTACTTCGACTACTCAAAGAAAAAAAAGGAAAAAAAAAGAAAAGAAAAAAACAAAATGTTTTTTCTTTTATTTTTCTTCCTTTTATCGTATAATTGTGGTTTCTGTACTATATGCACATGCCCAAATGTCTTTGTTTTCATTCATTGAGAATGATAAAGAATGAGAAAAAAAAAATAGAAATGAAAATGAAAAAAAAAAAATTGTAGTATTATTTACGATTTGTTTTACACACGTACATTCTAGGAATTACGGACACATCTATTTCTATCGAGTTAGAGAGGGTGATAATCTTTGTCACACATTCAAACATAAAATATTAGCAATCTTCAAAGAGTTAAACAAGAAAAAAACAAAATTGAGAGATAAGACACACTAGCTTAACATATTAATCAAACTTTTTTTTGAATACTAAACGAAGGCTATATATATTTTCTTTTTTTTTCCACTTTGACGATGACAAACATTTAATTCTACACACAATTAGTTCATGTAAATAAAAGACAACGGGAGATATGAGATAACCAATCAAACTATTCAAAATAGTCGCCGCCATTTGAAATGATCATTTTGTTCGAGATGTCGCTCATAAATCATATCATTTATTTTATCTCGATAATAGATTATGGTATATCGAATGATGTATATATGTTTAGCGTTTTTAATCTCAATTTTGTGTATATAAATCGATTTTAAACGAGTGAATAATACACTTTTGATCGATCACACTGCTTCAATTTTTTCACTAAAAAAATTTGTACTACTTTCAAACTAAATGCACATGAAGAATTTGAAATACGATTTAAAACGATATGTGATATTGTACGAAAATTTTCTTTCGATTACTAGTGAACGATTAAAGAAATAGAGAGTGTTTAGAAATGAAAAAAAAATATTTTTCAATCAATTTTGAATATCTTAAAGTATAAAATGTAGATGAAGTGTACCAGGTACTTGAACTGTTTGATGAAACAATCGTCATTCTTTTCTAAGTCATCAATAAAATATTCAAGAAAGAAAGTCGATTTTCTTTCTTTTTTTTGCTTATAACCTCCTTTCTTTCGCATGAATTTTGATCAAAAAAAAAGAAGAAAAACAGCTAAAAAATGATGATCAACACAAAGCAATATTGAAAATACATTATTTTAATCGTTTTTACGTAACGAAGTCAAATGTGTCTTTAGTTAAATAGTTTTAGAGAACATACAAAGGACATATATACCTTCTTCATATTTTTTTTTTTGTTTTTATTGAAAATTTTCATTTCAATTTTTTATGATAATTGATATTTTTTGTCTTAATTCAAAAAATTGTTATCATTTACGTTTACGGCTAAATGAAAATTTTTTCTAGCAAAAAAATGATATACTTACAATTTATTTTTCAAAAATGAAAAATATATAAAGACTCTCGGAGACGTTTTCTTTTCGCTTTGTATAGAAAAACAACGTCTGATTGTTTTAATAAAACAAAACAAAAACAGATTTGGTTTTCCATGTAACATATTTAAAATGAAAACGAAGAGAGGATGAGAGAAAGAGTGAGTAATCAAAGTTAACAAAACTAGAAAAAAACTAAAGTTGACAGTTAAAATCAGATTATTTAAAATGTGGAACTCAATTGTGAAGTATAAATCTTCATCTTACCATTGTGCTATATTATTATTCATATTGAAAGTATTTCACTGTCGCTGATCGTCTTTCTCTCTCTCGCTCTCTCTATATATATACAAGATCGCTTTGTGTGTGTATGTTGTTATGTGCGCTCTCTTCTTTATACAATTATCATTTCCCAAGATGTTTCATATCAAATCTATCAAGAAATTGAGATGTGGATATAAAGAATATTTTTCTTCTGTGTTATTTCAAAAAACCGAAAAAAATGTTGATTATTTACATTCGAATTCTGACAGAAAAATCTTGCTCGCTCTGTCTACTAGTATCGCTAATACTACCATCAATATCATAATCATCATTACTGACACATACACTAATTTTTCTTCTTTAATATATTTTTTTTGTCTTTCTTCTTTCTTTTTTTGATGCTATATGTACATGTAGGTAAGTAAATATATTTATTTTTCTATTAGATCTACATATAGTACATATCAGACTTCTGATGTTTGTTCGAAATACTGTAAGTAGGGTCAAAAGAACCTATATATATATAATACTTTCCCTTCCTATACATTTTTTTCTTCATTATAGTTACATATATATGATCTTCCTCGTTTTACCAAAAAAGCAACAAAAAATCCTCATATTATAAATGTATTTATTAAGAAATACAAAAAAGCTCTGCGCGGCCTCATATATCCATCATCATTGTCACCTATTAGAGAACTCTTGCTTTCTCTGCTTCGTTTCTTACTGGCAATTGAGCATGAAAAAATACAAATGAAATGAGCCGCGGAAAAATAATCATTTTTCTACTACTAGTATTGTTATACATGCC